TAAGATAAAGATAATCATCATTGTCACTCAGTAATGCCTAAACCAGAGGCTCTCAATCCTGGCTGCATAACAGACTTACCTGGGGCTTTATAAAAATACACGTGCTTGGCTTCCACCCCAGACCTACCGAATCACACACAAAGTTAAAAAGCTCCACAAGTGGTTCTGATGCACAGCCACGATTGAGAACCATTGGCCTCAACAGTGCCATGAGAACTCTGGCTGAAACAGTGAAAGAATAGTAAGTAATAGAGCAGGTACTGGCTAGGAAAAGTAGGGCAGAGGGAAAAGAGTCTGTGCCTTGGCACTTAAACACTTCCAGTTAATGCATTAAAAGGGCCAGTGAGAAGATATGCAGTCCAGGACAGCAATGAAAGGCTGGGAGCGGCAATTAGAAGCTTGAGAAAGCAGAGGAACATAATTTTCAAAGTGGCAATGCGGTTATTAGCAGCAGGCAATCTGTTGCTGGAAGCTGGCTTAGAGGATTGAGTGGCCAGTGTGTCAACCTTTCACACTCACATCAGGTTATTGCTCTGTAGTATTCTTCAGAGTAACCCTAGCATCACCCAGAAATGGAGAAATCTAGGCATAACTCCCAATCTGGTTTCAACTTGAACTTTGCTTTGCTCTGTTAGGTTCTAATGGAGGCAGTATACTTCCAAGCATGTGCTCTAGAATCAGGCTGCAAGGGTTTGAACTCTGGTTCTACTACAACTCCATAGCTGTGTGATCTTAGACAAGTCTAACCTCTTTGACCCTCAGTTTTCAGTTATTTGGGGAATTAAATGAGATAATCCCCGCTAGCTATTTTGAAGAAATTGACAAGCCAATCCTAAAATTTGTATAAAAGAGACCCAGAATAGTCAAAACAATCTTGAAAAAGAAAACTGAAGTTCTCAGACTTCCAGATTTCAAAACTTACTACAAAGCTATAATAATCAAGGCAATGAAAAAAAATAAATGCTGAACTAGCATAAGGGCAGACATATAGATCAATGGATTAGAACTGAAAGTCCAGAAATAAATCCTCGCATTTATGGTCCATTGATTTTTGGCAGATTTTTGGCAAGGGTGCTAAGACAATTCAATGGGATAAAAAACAGTTTCTTTATCCACATGTGAAAAATTAATTTGAATATCTATCTCACACTATACACAAAAATAAACTCGAAATGGATAACAGACCTAAAAGTAAAAAACCTCTAGAAGAAAACATGGGAGTAAATCTTTGTGACCTTGGGATAGGCAATGGTTTCCTTGATAAAACATAAAAAGCACAAGTGACAAAAGAAAAAACAGACAAAGTAGACTTCATCAAAATTATAGTTTTGTGTGTCAAGGGACACCATCAAGAAAGTAAAAAGACAACCCACAGAATAAGAGAAAATACTTGCAAATCATTATATGACAAGGCACTTACATTCAGAATATATAAAGAAGGCTTACAACTCAATACTATGAGACAACCCAATTAAAATATGAGCAAAAGATTTGCATAGACATTTTACCAAAGAAAATATGTAAATAGTCAATAAGCACATGAAAATATGCTCAACATCACTGGCCATCAGGAAAATACAAATCAAACTACAATGGGATACCAATTCACACCCAATAGGATGGGTATAATGAAAAAGACAATAACCAGTCTTGGCAAGTATATGAAGAAATTGGAATCCTCATTTTGGTGTTGAAAATATTTTAGAATTAGACTGTTAATGACTGCACAACTCTAAATATAGTTGACCCTCTGTATCCTCAGTTCCATAGCCTGGGGGTTCTACATCCATGGATTCAATCAACTGCAAATAAAAAATATTAAAAAAAAGAATGGGCCAGGCACAGTGGCTCATGCTTGTAATCCTAACATTTTGGAAGGCTGAGGCAGAAGGATTGCTTGAGGTCAGAAGAGGAGTTTGAGACCAGCCTGAGCAAGAGAGCGAGATCCAATCTCTACAAAAATAGAAAAATTAGCCGGGTATGGTGGCATGTACCTATAGTCCCTGCTACTCGGGAGGCCAAGGCAGGAGCATTCCTTGAGCTCACAAGTTTGAGGTTGCAATGAGCTATGATGAAGCCACTGCACCCTAGTTTGGGGAGACAGAGCAAGACTCTGTCTCAAAAAAATCCAAAACCAAAAATATGGTTGTGTCTGTACTGAACATGTACAGACTTTTTTCTTGTCATTATTCCCTAAACAGTACAGTATAACAACTATTTACATAGCATGTACATTGTATTAGGTATTATAAGTAAGCTAGAGATGATTTAAAGTATACAGAAGGATGTACACAGGTTATATGCAAACACTATGCCATTTTATATAAGGGACTTGAGCATCTGTGGATTTTGGCATCTGCCAGGGGGGTCCTGGACCCACGGATACTGAAGGACGACTGTATACTAAAAACCACTGAATTGTACCTTGATCTAACCAAAATCATGACCCTGTATGAGGAAGACAGGGAGTGCACAGGTTTGGTAAAGGTGAGAAACAGGAAAGACAGCTAAATCCTCATGTCACAAAGGAAAGAAGTCAACAGATAAAGCTGAAAACTGCAGAAAGTAAAGAAATAAAAATGTGCAATATTATTTAAAGGTACAGACATACATATCAAAGAATCGACCGAAAGATTTGCAAGTGGTTGCCTCTGGGAAGGGGAAACTGTAGGGCAAAGGGTCTGGGGACTGCTGTTTATCTTATTCACCCCTATAAAACTAGTTGACTTATTAAACTGTAACATTAATAAAATAAAAATTGAAAATTTTAAAGGAAAGCAAAAAACAAATAAGGTAGCATCATCAAAGACTTTGCAGAAAGTAGACGTAGAACAAAAGACCCCTCTGAAGTCTAGCTCTGTATCTTATAAACACTAAATAAGTCATTAGAAAAATGAGCATATATCCTCCCTGTCTCACTGTCAAGCCCCCACTTACCTTAGTCTTTGATGGCTAGGTAAAATGAATCTTTAAGCTCAAACTTCAAACTCATGACTGTACATCTATTGACAACGTGCTTGAAGATTTCTGCTCTTGGTTCACTGTTCCTCTCTTCAACCCGATCCCTGTCAACTTGTGAAGATCCACATACATGATCTTTCCAATACTTTGGTTTCTCAGTTTCTTGACCTACTACAATAATCTTGTCCTTTCACTCATCTAAGCCACTTATTCCTTTACCTTATTATTGCCAATGCCTGGCAGTCTACCATTATCTTAACTTCAGTTATCCCATTCCTTTTACCACCTATGTTCTCAGCACTGTTTAGTGCTCCAATTCCAACAATCTTTTATCCCCAGGGGGCCCTCAATCCATTGATAGTACCACTTTTACACTATCTCTCAGACCTACTGTGTCCTCACTTCCCTCCTTACCTAAGTTAAATCCTATAGCCAATCATAATTATCCTCTTGCAAGCACCCTTGACTTCACTGCTCACTTCTTCACTTGCTTTGCTAAACCACAACTCTGGTTAAACCCAACTCTCTACCTACAGTGTACCTGTACTTGCACAGCAAACACACAACCATACTGAATGCTCACTTGCCTAATCCAAAGATCAGTTTTTAGGCCTCATCTTACCATATTTGATATGCCAGAAACATCAGATCAAATTCATACCTCTCTCCTCCTTTATTTACTTGGCTCTCCTACTTTTTCCTCTTACTTCTGTAGTTGTGCCTGCTTAATGGCATTTGTCACCTCCCCAATTTCTAAATATTGGGGTGCCCCAAGGTTCAGACCCCAGAACTATTCTCTTTTCTATCTACCGTTACCTTCACCTATGTGATTTTCAATCAAATTTACAAGCCTAGCCCTGAATTGCAGAACTAAACATCTAAATGCCTCCCTGACATCTCCATTTGGATGTCGAGTAATCATGTCAAAAAATATATCCAAATGGCACTCCAGCTGTTCCCTCCCAAACCTGCTTCTCCTGCAGGGATTCCTATCTAAGTTAATGAAATGCCATCTTTCTAGAATCTCAAGCGAAAACTTTCAAATCATGATAACTCCATTTTATCCCCACATCTGATCCCTCAGCATATTCTGTTGGCTCTATCTTGTAAATATATCCAGAATTTGATGTCTTCTTATCGTATCTTCCGCTACTACTCTGGTCCAAGTCACCATCATCACTTCCTGGATTATTTCAATGACTTTTAAAATTGGCTTCCTGCTTTTACCATGATCCACTTACAATTTATTCTCAACACAGGAGCAAGAATGATCAAGTTAAAAGTCAGATCATGATACTCTTCTGCTCAAATCCCTCCAGTGGATTTTTGTCTATCACAAGGCAAAGTCCCACAGGAACTTATCTTCCACTGCTATTCTCCTCCCTCTCCTTTGCCCGCTCTGGCCATAGGAGCTATAGCTATGTTAGCCTTCTTGAGGAACGGAAAATATGCCAGGCCTGCCCCTACTTTAGGGCCTCCGCATTTGCTGTTTTGTCTGCTTGTAAGAGTCTTCTCCAAAATATCTACATGGCTTACTACTTCACATTCTTTACTCAAATGTCATCTTTTTACTGAGGCCTCCTAGGCCACCTAATATAAAATTTCAACAGTACACTTTGCCATTCCCCCTTTCCTGTTTTCCTTTGTTCCTAAGCACTTATTTTTATTTGACATAGTACATATTTTATTTCTTTATCTTGTTTATTGCTTCTCATACTAAGATGTAAGCTCTGTTTACATCTTTGGGATTTTTGATTCTTTTGTTCATTGCTCAATCTCCAGCAACTAAGAGCAGTACCTACCATATACTGGTTATTCAAGTAATATTTGTTGAATATATCCAGTACTATATTCAAGTGCCTTGCGTAGATAAACAGAGTAGTGCTCAGGAAATATTTATTGAAAAGAATGAATGCCAAGAAGATGGTACATTTCTTTAAGTACATACCAAAACAAGATCAAGTCTAGCTTACCACTCTATACTGTAGGACTAAACCAGTCAAACCATAAAAAACTTAGAAAGTGCATGATATCCTTACCTAGGCCGGCTCTTGCCTCTTTTTTCTTCTGAGAGGCCCAACCCACTGTGGAAAGTTTATCTCCTGGTTTTTCCTCTATGCCTCTATTCAAGCGCCATATTTTTAGTGTATTGTCATCAGAACAGGTAGCAATCTGAGGAGAACCAGGAAAGGAGTTAAGAAGTTTCAATCAAAGAATTACAACAAAGCAAAAAATAGATGTGTCTTAAGGGCTCGTGACTGGGAATTATTTTTTCTGATATAACTGGATACAGAAAACGACGTCTGAAAGATCATGTATTTTCATTCCTTGCTTTCAGGAATCATTCCAGATTTCCAACGAAGGTGGCTCTCTAGTTTCTTCCTTACATACATTTTGCTGATATGTCATTTGATACCAGTCATTTCTTACCTAAAGTTCTACTATAAAACTAGGATTATTTCATTTTGTTCTTTCAAGAAGTTAGGCAAGCCATTCTCTTTATCACCATCTATATACATATAAAATATGTAATTAAGATATCCTTTTTACTTTTGTTCTGTTAAATGATCAGTCTATATCACCAACATTCAATTTCTACAACTATCTTCCGAATACCACATGTTCTGAGGCACTCCTAAAATTCTTTGCAAGATCAGTCTTAGCCCATGACTCTAGTAGGCCATGACAAGTAGAATGAAACCATTCCTTTTGAGATTCTTTTTCAGATAGGTAAAGGAGCAATCTGGGAAAACAACAAATTCACTAGGCTAAAAGGAGTTAAAAATAACCTTTGCCCCTTTAAAAATATCTGACCATTTCTGATCTTGGTCCCAAGCCTTTTATGGCAGAGAAAGTCCGGCTTGAAGAGCTTGTGGCAATTGGCCACTGGTACCAGAACTGTTCCCCAGCATTTGTTTATATAATTTCTCTATTTCAGTCACTAAAGAGAGAGAAAAAAAGAATACACGTTCTCTTAAGTCTTGGCCCCCAAGAGACTGGTAGCTTTTTCCTTTCCTTACTGGGAGGCCAAAAGAAGATACACATATTTAACTGCTGAACATGAAATGCTTGGAATCCCATGGTCACTCTATAGTCTACTAATAGTTATTATTTACAGAGCATCTACTAGGTATGGTAATTTACATTATCTTATTTAATTCTCATAATATAAAAAGTCTTATACTCAAATACTCCCATCTGAAAAATGAAGATAAAGTTATTTGCTCAAAGTCACCACAATTAAATGGCAGAGCTAGAATTTAAACCTAGCTTTCTCCTATTCCAAAAGTCAGACTTTTTAAAGAATAAAAACCATATTCTACCTCCCTAATTCTAGGCTTGGGATAAAATTATTATTATTATTACTTTTTTTTTTGAGACAGGGTCTTACTCTGTCATCCATGCTAGAGTGCAGTGGCATCATCATAGCTCACAGCAGCCTCAAATTCCTGGGTTCAAGTGATCCTCCCCACATCAGCCTCCCAAGTAGCAGGGACTACAGGTACCCACCACTATGCCTGGCTTTTTTTTTTTTTTGTAGAGATGCGGTCTCTCTATTTTGCGCAGGCTTGGTCTCAAACTCCTAGCCTCAAGGGATCCTCCCACCTCAGCCTCCCAAAGTGCTGGGATTAGAGGAATGAGCCTGGCCTGGTACAAAGTTGTTTTTAAGAAGACTTCTAAAAAGGTGGTCACTAGATTAATATAGTTAAATAGCCCTGCCATTTTCTTTGAGTCTTTTCTTACAGGAAAGAAGGATAATTAATATATGATGGTTGAAATGCATAGAGATAGGATAATATATGATGGTTGAAAAAGATAAAATAATTAATTGAATAATTTAAAAATCATTTATCTTAGTAAGTTCCACAAAGAAACAATACTCCACGTTAAAAG